GGTTTGAGAATAGAGGGGAACAGGGAGTTAGCATTAAATGGGTAGTTTCACTTTGGGAAAATGAAAAAGTTCTGGAGATGGATAATGGCAATGATAGTACAACAATGTGAATGAACTTAATGCTACTGAATTATACTCTTTAAAATGGTAAATGCTATATATATTTCACCCCAGTAACAATTAATTAATGATTTTTTAAATGTATTTATTTTGAGACAGAGAAAGTGTGAGCAGGGAAGGGACAGACAGAGAGAGTGTGTCGGGGCGGGGGGGGGGGCCGGCGGAGAGGAGAATCTCAAGCAGGCTCCTCACTGTCACGAGCAGGAGGGGGCAGAGAGAGGGAGGGAGGCAGAGGATCTGAAGCAGGCTCTGCACTCTCAGCACAGAGCCCGATGCAGGGCTTGAACTCATGAACCTTGACATCATGACCCGAGCTCAAGTCGGACACCAGGCTAATTAATGATTTTAGGCGCCCCAGTTAATTAATGATTTTTTAACTGAATTTTGGAGCTCACTTGCCTTCCAAGAATGCTGTGCAGAATAACTAAATGGAGCTGTTACAATTTGTGAGGGTGGAGTAAGAATAGATGGCTGTGTCCCTCATACCTTCCTCAGCCCCGTCACTTTCCCTGGCACCCTTTGGGCAAGGATAAGGGATCTGCAGAACATATACTTCACTCTTAGGGATGGGTTTCCCCTCAGGGCAAGGACACATTTGTCAGAAACTTCCAGGGAAATTTGCCATAAACGACTATAATCTCTACCAAATGTCATTGACAAATACAGGAAAGCTGTTCCACTGTGATGGAGGGAATGTGTACCCACCTGTGCTCCTATAGTGGGGCTGCTCCAGTTCACCTGAATTGTGTGTTCATGAATGAGTCTAAGTACAGTGCACCATAATGCACAGGCTTATGGCCCTCCATGCATAGCTGTGACACATAACAGGTCTTCATCAGTAGAGGTGGACATTGGGGCACAAACCAGAGAATATGGACTTGATTATGTTGTAGCCACTGATTGAAGCCTAGTAGAAAAAAGGAAAAGCTGTAGAAGAAAATTAATAGCAAATAATTCTCCTGCAATGGAGCCTCAAATTATTATAATGCCTACTTTACATACTCCAAATGAAGTCTCATTTACCCCTCATCACCAAATCACTGTAATACCCATAAATCACAGATCAATTTCGTGAGTCCTGCAGTTCTATGGGGAATATGCAGGACTGAACTTACTAGGTTAGTCCATTAGAGCCCTACTTTGGGGGGATTTTGCTTTTTATTCTATGTTTCTTGAAAGCTGGACTTGGAGAACAATTAGCAAATTCTCATGGGGCCCAGTAGCCGTGTTTTCTTCAGACCTCTTGTACTACCTTCAGACCCTGCCCTTGGGTCTGACGAGGGCTTATAATTCCTGAAGAGCAGTGCGTAAAGACCCACAGTTCCAAAAAGCTCAGGAACCTCTGTCTGAAATTTTCCCACTTCTTCTTAAGGATGGAGGAAGAAATAATCGGGATAATCAGGATTATGTGTGTGTGCATGCACATGCATGCATTATATATTGTATACATATACATACATATGTAGGTATTTGGCTTAAGGGAAATGTATAACCAATAAAGTCATCAAAGTTAAAGTACAATGTGTATAAATCAGTCCCATTGTTCCTACCCTGACTTTCCAAACCTGCTTAGAAATGAACTCTCTAGGTGATGGAGAGAGGACAAAGGTGATGGAGGACAGGGCAAAATAACAAAGGTTTCAGCTGCTAAGATATCAGAAACTGGAATTGAAGGTTTTTATAGAAAAGAAAATCCAGGGCAGCAAGTCTGAGAGAGAAAAGTCAGTGCTCATTCATCCTTGACATCCACATGCGGCTACCTGCTCCCTAAGCTTGAGTTGAAATGACATGGATATAGGATTAAATCAAAATAAATTCAGCCCCATGAGTTCAGAGATCATAATTTTTAGATGGACACACTGACACGGTTTTTCCCCAGAGAAGACCAGGAAACCAAGTTGCCCAGATGGAATGATATAAGATAGAGAATACTAACAAAGATAGACCCTTGGGGGCTCTCCTTGTAGGCTCTCATGTCTCCTAGGAATCAGATTACCTCGTTCCAGACACTGAATTCATGTTTAGTGATGGCTTAGCTACCTGGAACCCAACAAACCAGAATCCTGAATTCACTAACCTTCATACTTCCCCACCCCCACTCAAACCCCTCCCGCACACCCCACCCTACCTACTGCACACATCCCACTTCCCTTTCTCAGAAATAGAGATTCAGAAAACAAGATAGCTTCGGTTTTGTAAAGATGGAGAATAAACCCTGGAGGATATCTGTAACTGATGACACTGACCTGCTGAATCATTGAAAATGGTTAAATGTTTTATAATTAAGAAAAGAAACTGCTTTTGAAAGATTTTCAACAAAAAGCATTTTCTAGCTGTCAATTAACCAGAAAATTGAAACAAAGAAGAAAATCTTCTTATCCTCAATTAGTCCAGTTAAAGAGGTTTTATTAGACTTATTTTCATGCCTTAATTAATAATCCAAAACTGTTGGTTTACAAATATATATATATATATATATATATATATATATATATATATATATATATATACAGTGTTTATTCTTCTTGAAAAACTCCAAGGTTTAGCTTTTACCACCTTTCCAGTGCCAGAGTTTAAATTTCAGATATTCTCCTTATGTTCATTATTTGGAACCCTTTAAAGTTTGGAAGCACTTTAAAAGTGGTAATATTAATGATATTAAGAGTAATTTATAAAATAATTTTATGAACATGTATATTTCATTCTTATAGTCATTGGGAATCCATTGGCATAGTTTTTTTGTTTTTGTTTTGTTTTGTTTTGTTTTGTTTGAGAGAGAGACAGCATGAGCAGGGCAGGGGCAGAGAGAAAGGGAGAGGGAGAGAATCCCAAGCAGGCTCCCCACTGTCAGCATAAAGCCCAATGCAGGGCTTGAACACACAAACCACACATCATGACCTGACCCAAAACCAAGAGTCGGACACTTAACCGACTGATCCACCCAGGTGCCCCAGCATTAACAGTTTTGAAGCCAATTCTTTTGTGTTTTTTTAGAAAGATTGTATGATGCACTTACTTGTAGCATTTAGTGTTAGGATTATGTTCTGCTCAAAGCATCATCAAAATTAATTTTTATTCTCTGCATATACACTAGTGGTACATACAGATGGGGTAGTGTTACCAGCATGGTAGTATACATTAATATGTAAATCAGAAATTTCACATGGTATTCTCTGTGAATCTCCAAAGAAACTCAACCATGCATATTATGAAGCTACTTTACCAAGTGGTTATCAGTTGTAGCACAAATAGTTTATCAACTAATTCTAATCATTTCCAATCTGTTGCTTCTTAGAAATTATTTGTGTGCTCTCTTTTGACTATACCTTTCATTGGCAAAGTGACACCTGTCTGTGAGCTGTGATTTAACCCAGGTGGTGGCACCACACTCTTACAAGGACACCTGCCCACCCCCATTGATCATTGTGAGGGCCCTGGCATCTGCAGCTGGAGAGTGTGCAAATCATGGATCATGATGAGAAAGAGCAGTATTTGCAAAGTTCTGGAGTGTAGGAGGATTTTTAGAGTCCCTGTAGAGCTTAACTAGAAACTGTAATCTATTGTTTCTAGTAGATTTTTCCTGTATTTCATGTCTGACTTGTTGCCAGGCCAGATTATTATACTGGGTTCCGTGTATCAAGTATTTTTAATTACTAGGAAGAGCAGAATCAGAGAATAATTGTTTCCTTTTGTTAAAACAGGAGTAGCTTTATTTTCCTGATTGTGAAAGTAATATGTTTCTTGTACAAAATTTATAAAACAACAAAGAAGAAAATAAATTACCTGTAATCCAGCTACCCAGAATAAAACCTATTAACTCATACTTTTGTGTATTTTTCCAGACTCTTTTGAATTAATCAAATAATTCCAAATTTACAAGCAGTATTCTGGACTGGTTACATCCCACAAATTTGGTGGAGCTTAGGAATGATGACTTTAGCTATCATTTTCTAGGATAATGATCTCCTCGTTTCTTATTTTTTTCTCACAAATAACATTAATCAACTCTTACAAGAACAGATACCTGTGTAGATACACCATTATCTTTATCAAGTGGAAATCAGTATTAACTTTTTTTTTAAATTTCTGCATCTTGTCAATGAAAAGGACTATTGAGAGGCCCTTAAGATCCTAATGGGCCTCTGGAATCATAAGAGAACGATTTAATTATATGTAAAATGGTATTAGTGTTAGATCAACTAACTGTATTCTAGTTATTTAAGAAATTTGTTATCAGTACACAATATAGCAATTTGCCAGAAATGGGAAACGTTGCTTAGCCATATCCCCAGCCATAATCCAAACAGTATGTTCTACAGTAAAATTCTGATTTTATACCTGATGGTACCAAAATGTGATTCAAATATATCCTTTCTTGTGCTGTGAACCAGAGCTTTTCCTTCAACGTTGAATCCTTTATCCCCCTTCAAAGAGACTTCTCTTCAAATTCCTCTGGTGTGGTGTTATAGTTCCTGGGATTGTCTTGATAGCTCTGTACTTCCCTTTGGGAAATGCTAAGACTTTGGGTCAGGGTGAATCCTAACATGTAGCGAAGGTGAGGAAGGATCTTAAGCACTAAAAGAAAACCCTGATTAAAAAAAAATTAAGGGGATTGGGGTGCCTGGGGAGCTCAGTCAGTTGAGACTGACTCTTGATTTCGATTGGGTCATGATCCCAGGGTCATGGGATGGAGCCCAGCATCAGGATCCATCCTGAGAGTGGAGCCTGCTTGAGAGTCTCTTTGTCCCTCCCTTGTGTCCCTCCCCCACTCATGCTCGCTCGCTCACTCTCTCTCTCTCTCAATAAAAATTTTAAAATGAATCGCTTTCTAAAAAAATTAAGGGGATTGTTAGATTCATCTGAAAAATGTTGTAGGAATGTTTTCTACAAGCCCTATGTCAGTAGAATAAGAAGTCTATAGTAAGAAGCTGCTAGAAAAGATCTTGTTTTAAAAGAATGATCTGTATTTGGTCTGGTCATGACTAGGTCTTATCCCTTATACAAGACTCAAGTTCTTTGAAAGCAGATTCTTCTAGGTTCTTCTATCTGCATCCCTTCACCATCCTTCGTGTCCTTGTTTATAATCGGGACTCCGTATGTATTGAATTAATATATCTGTGGCTCGTGACTGAAAGATGAATGAATGTGCTCAATTCACGTACTACATTATGCCTTCTTGCTACAGAGTCGAGGGGTGCTTTGATAAATATCCGCGATTGTTGAATGCCCAAGCTGGCTACAGGTGTGGGGAAGTGGTATAGAGTACTTTGATCCTCCTCAGGAGAAGGAGATGCTAATGTGGATAATAAGAATTTGCTTCTTTGTCTTCAGTTTCGGTTTGACCGCTTTGCTTCACTGAGTCACACAGCACTCGCTCTTCGGTGATGGACATGTCATTTAAGCCTGAGACTGTCCCTTGGACTGTTTATGACATTGTATCTGAATTTCCCATTACATTAACAGCCAGCATTTGTCATAAAACTTCAAGAACACGTTAAAAGTTATTTGGTTTGTAGTTGACATTGAGATTAACTTTCTCTAACCTAAACCAGTGAAAACCAAAATGCTCCTCACCACATAAAAGTTTTGCTTTCGCTGTGTTCAGACCCCTCCCACCTTCTCAGAGCACAGTCATTTGGAGCCTAGTTTGGGGGCGGTGTGGTTGTATCTCCGTGGTGTATGACCCACTTTTTCGTAACACTTAATTACCCGTGTTTTTACAGCACTAGTCAGAAGGTCTGACGAGAGTGGACTATAACCCAAAAAAGATTTTCTGATACACCTCATCAGGGCTGCTCTCGTACCGTGCGTTATCGGAAGAAGGTGTTAGCTCTGCAGGGCATGTGTTAACTACCAGAGGATGACGGAACATTTCCTCTAGTTTCTGGATAATGAGCAAGCACACAGGTAAAGAAAGATGCCTTTCTCAGAGTTGCCTCCTTTCGCGTCTTAATTATTTTGTTGAATTGACTTTTAAATATTGATCACTACCTGCGTATGTTTGCTGTTGAGGTTTGCAGAGGGCTCAGAAGAACAAGCATTTTAATTGCTACCCTGGGACCTTAATCATTTAACTTTTCATTAAAAGTCTAAGGAGAGAGTCATCGAAAATAGACTCTCATCTCTATCCTCTCTACACCCCTAGAAAACATCCTCCTCGTCAATGTGTTTTTGTTGTTTGCTCTCAAAGTGTCTGTCTCTCAGTATCAGCTGCTTGGCGGGTGTGGCAGCCGTGTGAGTTAATGCTTGGTGAGCTGCCTGAGATGCGGTGGGGACTGTGGACAGGGCAGGCAGGGAGGGGAATGCACAACAGGGAAGGGAGATGGCAAGGAGGTAACCGCCTCGGTGAACATTGTCCAACTGCAAACTAAAGGCAGACTGAGGAGCAGCAATATTGACCTCACTTGGGTAAGATCCTTTCTGACAGCCTGCTGTGCTTTAGCAACATTTATGCTTCTGATACCACTTTCGTTCATTTGAGGAACTTTTAAGACGTTGGCATTGTCTCAGAACAAAATGTTGTAGGTATCACCTTCCTGAATATACAGAAATGTTTGTGGGTGCATTTCTTTGCTGAAGGTTGGTTGACATGCGGCTCGCAGCAGGTTGGTGCCCGTGCCTTGCGGATCACACCTGCCTGTGTGCTGAATGGCATACCAACGTGGAGTCTCGGAAAATGCCCATAGATAAGTCAATGTTGTTTTCCCTGAAAGTCCTGATACAGAAAAAGAGTGAAAGTACCAACACTAACTGGAAAAAATGTCACACGTTTTAGCCTCTTTGCATCCCTTGTTAGGACAAACCCTGCGTTGGGTTTTTTACATTTGTGAACTTGTGCGGTAGGTGGAGCAGTGTGGGTGGCCCAGAAAAAGTAGCGGTTAGAATAAGATTTTCCATTTATTGCCCTTTGTGCATGGCTAAAAATAAGATTCATACAAATCAGAATATGTAGTGCAAGCACAATCACTCTGTTAATTCTGATGACTGGCTTGCCCACATCTTTGCATCTGTCTGGTAAGTGGTGCGTTGGGAAATAAATGTGACTCTGTTTAAGCAGCAAGAGGCAGCCAGGTTTTTGCGCTGTTTGTCTACATGTGCTAGTTTATCAGCATTTTCCCCTTCTGAAGGAAGAAAGACTCGACTCATACATAAACAAATTGTGTCGATGGAAGGCTGAAAGAAGTGATAGAATTCTTGAATCTTTTTTTAAAAAGTAATTGCCTTGTTTGAAATGCTCTTTTAAAACATCATCTTTTTGACTCATTGTTAGAAAGTTGTTTCTTGAAGACTCGCAGCACGGGAAGGGGAGGATTTCTTAGTGGTGCGGCCAAGAGATTAGCAAAGCCTCTTGTTTGTGGACTGATGGGGTCGGTGGGGAGGGAGGACAAGGATGAGTGTGTGCCTGCTCTGGAGGACCCTCCTTGGACACAGATGTTGGAGGAGCAGTTAACCAAGTAGAAACTCCCCTTTATCTGACTGCTGAGTCTACTGCAACCACAGTCAGTGATAACGTGCCAGTTTGTGGCTAGAAGAAACACCAAAGAGAGGTGGCGTCAGCGTTCACAGGGAAATTTGTACCTTGGTGATCCTGGCGATGGTGCTGTCCCCATTCCACTGGCTGAGTGGCTGTGGCATTTCCAGAGAATGAGAATGTCTGCAAGTGTTTTGAGCCTTTCAGTTTGATGTAATTTGCGAAACGAGATGAGTCAAGAGGGCAGTCATTCCAGAAGCGTCTGGAAATTGAAGACTCCAGGTCACATTCCTCACTGGCATCTCCAACTGAGGCAGATAGGGTTGAGGCATGGTGGTTAAAGCAAGGCAAGAGCTTTGGGAGAAAGAGGACACAGGACCAAATCTTAACTTAGCTACTTGCTGACCTTGATCTGTTTATTTAACCTTTCCTAAGCCTGGATGTCTTTATTTGAAAAAAGGAACAGGGATAGTACCTACCTCATAGGGTGGTTGTGCAGATTAAATGAAATACCATATATGAAGTACAAAACCATCACTCATTAAAAGGATGGAGTTGTTACTCTTCTTTGTGCCATTGTAAAATATGAACGTGCTGGAGAATTTCGGGGCATTTGGGGGTTCCCCTGGATGCCTGGGGTACAGATTTTGGAATTAAATGGACACACGATCAGCCTCTTGTCCAGTGTTTCTCAAACAGAAAGCTACAGGTCATTTACAGAGTAGTTTGGTTCTTCACAGGTTACCGATGCCATCTGGGGGATCGTTTCTTTATTTTGCCGTTAAATCAGCACAATGTAAGCCTCTCTTTCCTTTTAAGGTTGGTACTGTGTTGAGCATATTCAGTTATTTTTACCTTCTCCCTATGTTTTTTGTTTAAGCATGGATATTTCAGCTCTGACATCTGTGCATGTTAAATTGTAGTACCTGCTGATGTACATTATGAAAGAGAGAGCGCTGTTTTAATCAAGTGCAGTTTTATTTATTTTATTTACTTTTTTAAAATTTTTTTAATGTTTATTTATTGTTGAGAGACAAAGCATGAGCATGGGAGGGGAAGTGAGAGGAGGAGACACAGAATCCGAAGCAGGATCCAGGCTCTGAGCTGTCAGGACAGAGCCTGATGCGGGGCTCGAACTCACAAACGGCAAGATCATGACCTGAAGTCAGACACTCAACCGACTGAGCCATCCAGGCGCCCCAATCAAGTGCAGTTTTAAATATTTCAGGTGGGACTGGGCAAAACTTCAGGAGCAGTTAGCTTCCATGGTGGTGTAATTCTCTACAGAAAATATTGTATCTGTTATAATTCTGATTACCGGTCAGTCCTAGAGATGACCAGATACTGACAGGCAGAAAACAATTACTGTCACTTCTTTCACTTTATTATTTTTAATAAGTTATTTACTGTTTAATGGAGTGTATGCCTGCCCTTCTCAGAGTCTTTCTGCCCACGAAATTTTTCCATTAAAAAAATAAATACATTGGGACACATGACTGACTCAGTCAGTAGAGCATGCAACTCTTGATCTCAGGGTCATGAGTTCAAGCCCCATGCTGGATGTAGATCTTAGTTATTTTTTTTAAGTAAATATACTGTATATTTCATCATAGAATCATAATTGTGTAGGCATCACTTAATTTCTTTGGTTAACCTTTAGTATTAGATGCTAAGAGTTGGCATCAGACTCTTCCTTCAGCATCCTCCATGACCTTCATGGGATGCAGTTTTTTCATTTACCAAATTAAAAAAGAAATTTGACTGTACCTTGACTTTGCCTCACCTGGGACCTGACAAGAAGTGATAAATGAGATCAGTAAGCTAAGGAATTAAAACATGGTCCTGATATAAACAGTGCCAGCTAGGTTTTAATTGATGTATTTGGCTAGTTGGTTGTTCTTGTTGTTGTTGTTGTTCTTCTTCTTCTTCTTTTTTTTTTTTTCCTCCACATTTTTTTTTTTTTTTTATGGTCTGTCCTGTCATTCCATTCACAGATACAACTTCTGGCTTGTAATTTCCATATCAACATTATCGTTGTGGCTTCTGGGTTTTTAATGTTAGTACCCAACAGACTGGGGTGGAGATGTTTCTCAGGTCAACTCCACCAGTAAGATCTGTCTTTTATTAGAAAGGTACCCAGCTTCTTACAGTGTATCCAGACAATGCTGCTTTTTAAAGTTTTTCTGTTGGATGGAATGGAAGAATGCTTTTTAGGCAGAGCAAATCATTCAGGGTAACTTAACAAAGTTCTTGGCATTGCAGGCATAGCTTTAGTCCCCTCCATGAACACATACGTACACTCCCCATTATCTTTTCCTGCCATATTGTACTTTGCCAGAGACTGACGTTTCTGTGAAGACCATAGACAAGAGAAGGTGATAAGTTAGGCTTTGACTGTGATTTCCTCCCACACCTTCATGAGAAGTGACGGAGACTCTGAAATCTGTCCCATTGATATACCGTGTGCTTCTTCCTGGATAACAGCCAGTTTTAACCTGTCCTTCATGTGCAATTTGAGGGTACTGGCTGGGCTGAGCTCATTATTCCTTTGGTTGAATAATGTAAAGCATTTGCAATGGAGATTTACTCTAATGATGTATTTTAAGTGCATGTCCGCATTGCCAGTTTAATGCACTCAGTCATGGAATGCTTTAGAGTTTATTGCTAATGGATGAATCCTCAGGAAAATCGGAATTTTCAATAAGATTGACATTTGGAGTGAGAAGTATAAATCTAATGAGAGCATTTTAACCAAGGTTTGTAATTAGGGCTGAATGGAGTAAATTTGTACGTGCATACTACAGAAGGGCACAGCAGAAGGTGAAATTGCACGCTCTGCTGTGAATGAGGGATGAAGGCTGATGTATCAGTGTCAGGCCACGACACTGTGGAGTATAAATGACACTGTCACCAAGTGCCACACAGGCTACCAGGGGAATTCCACTCCAGTAAATTACATTACTTAGACAGACCTGACGGCATTGTGTCGGAATGAGAGAGGGGAAGAGAAGGCTGTCAGCATCCAGTGGAAGATATTACAGTACAACTGGCTGCAGGGATGGAAATCACTGGTCTCCATTCTACCTGGATATTTTGTATTCATCTTTGTTAATTAGTTTACAGAAGTTACAAATGTGTTCATGTAAAAGCACATCGTATTTACCTGGGGTGTAGGTTATGTGGTCAATCACAAGGGAATAACTGTAAGTTAATTTGTATAAATTGGTTAGTGTGAGACTCTCTTTCTTGTTATTTGTACCTGGGTGCATTAGATATTCAATATAAGCTTGCCTTTCTTTTCTTTTAGTGAGGATTCAGCATACATTGTTAACCAGGTAATCATCATTCTCTCTGTAACATTATTTCTTTTCAAACCCTGCTTTAATAAGAACATATGTTTCTTTAATCCTCTGCTAACACTGTTTCCTCTCATCAC